AGTAGTCAGCGTACTGAAGGTTGATGATGCCGGTCTTGGTAAGTTTTGCTTTGCTGTGAAGGCTTTGCAGGTTGAAAAGTGGATTTGATACTCAACCCCAATTCCAGGAGGAAGGCAGTGACAAATAAGAATAAAAAAATCACAGCAAGATAGATGGAGAGAGTTGGGGCGATGACAGCCCTGCTTGACACCAGTACAGATGGTAAATGGGTCTCTCTGATCTATTCTAAAGGACTGGGGGTCACCCTATCATGAAGTAGCATGAGGACGGTGATGAACTTCAGTGTTCAACCAAACCTAGCCAGCACCTTCCATAAGGCTTCACAACTGATGGAGTTGAAGCCCTTGTTTAGATCAATGAATGCCATAAACAGCTCCTGGTGTTGCTCTCTACACTTCTCCTGGATCCATCATGCAACAAAAATCATGTCAGTGACACTCAGTGATGGTTTAAAGCCACACTGGGGGTCTGGAAGGATCTCTTTGACAAGGGGGAGGAGGCAATTCAGAAGGATGCAAGTAAGAATCTCCCTGGCAATAGAGAAGAGGGCAATGCCTTGGTAGTTCCCACACACTGACTTGTCCCCTTTCTTGAAGATGGCCACAATATTGGCAATCCAGTGCAGCTTCCTTGTTAACCCATATTGTGGTGAGAAGTTGGTGAAGTTTTTGTGCTAGTGCTGTTCCACCAGCTTTGAAAACCCCTGCAGGTATGCTATCTGGTCCTGGTGCCTTATTGTTCTTGGTCTGAGTAATGGCACACCAGACTTCCTTGAAGGATGCGGGGGGCGGGAGAAATCAGCAAGAGATTCTATTACTGGGTGTTAAGGCATGGACTTGATGGTGGCAGCGGAGACCTCAGATTCACAGACACAATCACAGCTACAAGCTAGGAAGATGCATGGGGTAACTAAATTGCAATGAGGTAGAAAACAACAACGTTCTTGTGATGATAATCTTCCTCCTTAGCTTCTCAGACGTGTGTTATTGTGCTGCCTAGAAACCCCAGTCTTGAATTGAGATCTCACTCTGCTGGGCGCTATATAAAAACCCAAAACGAGGTGTTTCAGTTCTGGAACATGCAGCCTTGCTTACAGCTATATCCCCAGTGGGGACCCAGAGTAAACATAGGTTAGACCAGTGGTAGGCAACCCGTTCCAGCTGTAAGCCAGAATAGCCCACCTCAGGCGAGAGGTAGGTGCTAGAACACATCCATAGCCAGCACTTCATCCCACAGCAGCATGGGGAGAGCGTTCACAGCGGGCACTGTGGCGGGCCAGTAGGGGGTGCTCCTGCGTTGAGCCACCCACCTCACTGCGCCCGACCCCCTTCCAGGCTCCAAGTGCCTGCCTGGGGGCACCTCACGTCTAGCCGACCCCCTTCCTGGAGCACACTCGCTAGCCTGGGGATAACACTGCCACCACCCAGGGCTGGGCTTGACTCTGGCTCTGTGTACCCTGGGAAACACAGGCCTAGTAGCTCTCAAGGGTACTTGATTCACTTCAAGAACTTGGGATGCTTCTCTCGGTCAGAAGCACAAGTAGTGGTCTCCCTTAGTCAGCCGAACCAAGGGGACCCCAAGGCATAATCTAGACCCACTCCCAACAAGTCTCCCATGCTAGGTACAAAGGAAAACTTTATTGGTTACAAGAGGTAGGGTTGGAATAGGGTACAGGGTAGAGCAATATCAGAGAAATCCCATAGAGCAAACTGGCATGGCTGGGTAGCCTTTGATCACGCATCCAAGTTACTGCAAGTTATATAGCTAGTTAGATATCAAGTAGCTTACTCACAAGTATCATCCAGAGACAGGTGGAGATTCCCATTGGAGGCAGGCAGTTCCTTGACCATGAGTTTTGAGAGAGAGAGAGCGAGCATGTTTCAGATAGTCCAGCTTTTTTCTCTCTCTCTCTCATGGCTGCTGCCCCCTCCTCCTGGGCAGTCCTTAACTTATATAGCCTGCATGACCTCATTTACCTGGTCCAATGGAGGCCAGCACCTGTTGGCTGTCAGCCAACCAATTTGAAATGCATCACTAGTTGCTGGGCAGACTGGCAGTTTCTAGCTCCCCAGGGAGCCGAAGCCCCTCACCCAGGTATGGGAAGCCAGTCACGTAGACAGAAGGAGCAGGTTTCCCCCCTCCCTCAGGAATGTATCCAGTTCAGGTTACCTAGAGATAGGGTAAGGTGTGTACCCTCCGCAGGGCCCATCTTAACCAAATTGTCACAGAGCAGAGTTTTTGGGGAGAAACGGAGGTGGCCTTCTGCCACAGGCACTTCTCCCTACAGTGGCACAGAGAAAGTAATCGCAACAAAAGCCCCACCTCTGCAGGCCAGATCCAACGACTTCACAGGCTGAATCTGGCCCATGGGCTATAGATTGCCAACCCCTCACTGAGACTACAGACTAGGTATGTTTTGTAACAGAATAAAATAAGGAACAGATTATTCTCATGAAGGTCATATTCCACATGCTAAAATGAGTGTACAGTTCAACTGACAGTGGGCATGTACAAAGGCTCAAGAGACATTCTTTTAAGGCCCACATGGACAACTATCACAAAGTGACTGCACAAACCCATCATGTGAAAGCACTGAGTTGAATACAGGTTTTAATACATATAGCTGTACCATCCCATTTTTAGAACATTTTGTATATCAAATAAATGACTAACTTATAAAAATCACAGTAAGTATCACTATTTGGGGCCAACTGTACCAGAATATTAGCAACAAAACATATCATTCATAACTGCCAGCATTATTACTACAAAAAAAAAAAAACACCAAACCAAACCACTAAAAAGTACTGTGACTTTGGTAATCTATCAGTTGAAAGTGAATAAGCTCTCCCCTAACGAAACAAAAAAATGCATCAACCCAGTCTAGCTTTATATTGTTTTGAGTGGTGTCTTTATAATTAAAAGCCCCTAAACAATGCACATCCCTTAAATCATTCAAACATTTTGCTTTCTTATGGTAGCATTGAGGTGGTGGCAGTCATGGTAGTCCAGAAATATTCAAGAGGCACGAATTCTTGTGGGTGATATCTTTTATTGGACCAACTGTACGGCTGAGAAGCTTTCAAGTACCCTTCCTCAGGCATGTGCCTCCTTCGAGAGGCTTGAGGTACTATGCTACATGAAAGCTTGCCTATGTCTTTCCCAAATATGCAGTTGGTCCAATAAAAGATATCACCCACAAGAATTCGTGCCTCCTACTTTTTATGGTATTCTAGAACTACCATATTCTCTTGTATACAACATAAACTGCCTTACCCTCAGATAGATAGATAATCTCCCAAAATTGGGATGTATGTAAGCAGGGGAGCCTATTTGCTGCCCAGGGTTGAAAGCACTCAGGTTTGATTCCTCAGTGAATCAGCTCTGGTATTATTAGTCAGGCAGCTGAGGGAGTCAACTGACTTAATGGCTCAGTGTTCTTCAATCTACAGGTGTTTTTTTTAAAAGATGTTCCACTAATCAAGCCAACCTTCCTTAGGACAAATTTGCTGTCAGCCAGCTACACCGGGTTTATTTCACAGCTTCTTTAGCACAGACTCTTTAGCTCATAATCAGAAAGTCCAAGTTCAGATGAGCGTCATGGAAATCCTTATTGCTGCCCAAATGTGCCAGGAACACAATCCTCCACAGGTTCTCTACCAGTTGAAACAAGGTACCTTCTTTC